GGTTTGATGCGGGCTGTGGAATGTGAATGGCGGCTAATGGAGGTGGCTGGCTGGGGCGGCCCGCCTGTAATTTGGCTTGATGAGGCGTCCTCGCTGGGCCCGCGTGAAATATGCTATTGATATTCAGCCAGCCCCATCGCCGCCGTGCCATTTCCGGGCCCAGATTCACCGGAGCACGGCTATGCATTACAGGGCCAAATGAAGAGGAAAATTGAAGTAATGTTAAATTATAAATTTATGATTTCATCTGCCTGACCTCGAGAGGGCCGAATAATGGGATCCGGGGTGTGGCGGGGGCTTCGTTTAGGGGGCCCCGGCCGCTTACTGTACTTCATCTTCATTGGCACTGACCTCCCAGACCGCCGCCTGCCGATTTAAGGGGTCGGTGAATAAAGGTAGTGTTTGGGACCGGATTTGAGTGTTTTGACCCAAATTTTTTATTGTGCTTTTTAACTCATAATTGCGTGAAAATGTTTGTTTTTTTTTGTTTTTTTTTTAAATGAAATATTATTCTTATTATTCTCCGTGACCCTGACCTGGAACCTGTATCACAAAGCTGGAATTTTGGTTTAGCAAGATAAGTTGTCGGATTTAAGGTGGTCTGGGCTAAATGTAGGTGAACGAAGGTCTCCCTTTCCACTGGGGCACCTTAAATCCGGCAAGTTATCCAGCCAAGCAGCAAATCTCGTCTGGTGATAACAGGCCCCAGGAGAACCGGTTTGGAGATGGATTGATAGATATTGTCAGATATCCAAGCACCAGCTCCATCGGCCTCTGTTGGCTTCATCATTATTATTGTTGTTTGTTTGTGTAAAATATCACCAATATGGCGATCGAGTCACCTAGAGCCAGAGTTACACTTTGGGGGGTGGTTGTGGGGGGGGGGGCGGTGGTCGAGCTTTGAACTTATTATGATTTATAGCAGATCGATGTGCGGCGAGTGAGAAGTGGACTGGGGGGTGGGGGGGGAAGCTATCTGAAGAGGCGGTGGAGTGGGGGGTGGCTGCGGATATTAATTGTGGAGTTATTTAGAGTCATTCTTATCTAAATGAAATTGGAAAAGCAGGACAGCGAAACATTCCTTTTAATAATTTGCATAAAAAATCAACAAGACTCATTATTTAAACGAACTGTAATTTCTTACGTGCCGAAACCTCATTAAATCCCCCTCACTGCTCCTTTGTTTACGCCGCCTAATCGCACCATTCATCTTTATTGTGTTATGCCGCATGTATGTTTGCTGAAATTAATACACATTTAAGCCCGCGCGAAATATGGATTTACCAGATGGATAATTGATTTTAAAGTGAATCTGAACTGTTGAGCCATAAAATAGGTATATTAGCATGCATATTAATAATGGGAATGTGCAGGCAAAGGGCCCCCCCCCCAACCAGCCCGGTGAAGTGTCGGGATTTATTTATCGGGGGGGCTGGGGCGTAGGCCCAGAACCTGCCTCTGGCGACAGGCCCACCTGCCTCCCCCCGGCTCCCACTCACCTGAGTCACTTACAGAAAGGCATTGTGGGTAACGAGGGATAAAGACCCTGTCTGAAATGCCACTGCAGGTGTCCTTGAGTCCACTGACCCCTTCCCCCTATTTATTGAGGTGGAGGGGGCAGTTTACCTACCAGCCAGATGTCGGGGGGGGGTGGCAGTTTCATGGCCAAAGGAGCTCTGTGAGTAAAATGCAGGCATCGCCTGGCCAGAGGTCAGGGAGGGGCGACCGTCTCAAAATTGGCATTAACCCGCTGCCCGGAATGGTGCCACCGGCAAAACGTGCTGCGTCACGGGGTGAGAGTTCCTCTGGGGGGTTGGGGAGGGGGGGTCGGTGGTAAAAACCATCTTCAGGGGGCCAGAGGGTGGGCCAGCGAGACTCCCCGAGCCAATCAGGTTTCCCCTCTGCTAGCGTTGAAGATTAAATTTTAGGGTGGCTTTATAGGGAGAAGCCCCCACCCCCCGCCCCCCCCAGCTGGTCGCCCCATTAAGTTATCGCTGGCCTACGTCACCCTCATTTGTTTGTGGAGGTTCCGACGTAAAAAACCCTTTTTCCCGGCAAATACGTCTCATTTTAACTCCCGCTCGTAAAGAGGTCCTTGCCTCTTATAAACACCTTCCCAGCTCATTGTCTTGCTCCTGTCCTTAAAAAAAAAAAATAAATTCCCCACAAGCCGAAGGCTGCTCGATGACAGAGAGTCATGGTGCCGGTGTGCGCCGTGACGACGTGCACGGAAAGCTCCGGAAGATCCACAAGCCCTTCTCTTAAAGCGTCGCCCGGTAACGACTCTGCAAACGATGTTCGATGTCATTGGATGGGAAAGGAGGGCACCCGGAGCGAGCGATTTCACATCTTTCAGGAGGCCGCATGACGTCGGAATAAATACACGCGTGGGGAGAAGTCTCTCGCGGCCCAAACACGGTTCTATTCATGCTTATTTCTTTATTTTTCTTTATTTATTTGGGTAAATTGTAGCGTAGGGCCACGGGGGACTGAGACGGCCATCCGGCCGTGTCTCGCGGCTGCGTGGAGTGCAGCGCTGTCTGAACTGACGGAGACGGGGGGGGGAATCGGTACGGCGGCACCGAGCAGAGCGGGATGGAGGGAGACAGCTGGCGGGATGCGGCGTCTGAGTGCAGCTGCGTGTTGGACAGTGTGCCAGCGGCGCCGCACAGCCCGTGTGCGCACAGACTCTCACGCACGCAGTCACACTCACACAGGCAGACACACGATCGCACGCACACGCAGACACACACACGCAGACACGCACACGCAGACACAATCGCGCATAGTCAGACACACCACGATCACATTCACACAGACACACGCATGATCACATTCACACAGACACAGACGTACACACATGCTGACATTCACACACACACGCCAACACACAAATACACAGACACTCACAAACACACACACACACACACACACACACACTTTTCCACTTCCTCACAAACGGACCGACTTGCTGTCTCACAAGAATTAGAAACGCAGACAGTTTCACTCTGACAAGTCGTCACACACTCTTAGTCCCACACACACTGTCATTGTCATAGCCCCCCAACACGCCACGCACACACGCACACACGCACACACTCCATCAGTATATACGTGTCTGCTGTCTACCGTCATGCTCGTATTGCCAAATGGCGAGGCCACGCCGCATGGTACGGCACAAAGAGAGCCCTCTGGACCCCCCGGCCAGCTCCCTCCCCTCGGTGAGGCGTGGTGGGGGCCGGCTCAGTGTGCACTGCATTTCTCGCATGGTGTCCCCCGTGTTTCAGGCCTCTCGTGGGTAGGACCGCAGTAATGGACTGCTCGTGTTGGTCCTTAGCCTCGCTCATCATTAAAAATTTCTGCATCAGCAAAGATAGCTAAACTAAACAGATTGCCAGTAAATTCCAAAATAAGTTGCATTCCGCTTTTTTAAAGGGACTTTTAAAGTGCTGCCACAAACACACGCCCGTTCTGGAGCTCCTCGAGGCGCGGTTCCGTCCTACCGCCTGGGCCGTCCGTCACATCGCGCCGGCGTGTCCCTCATGATCGATTAGCCCCGGCTAAAAAAGAGAGCTTATCGATCAACGACAGTAAGAACGACACTTCTAGACACATCTGCCGTCTCCCCCAGGGAATGAATCAGACCAAAGTGTTGGGGGGGGGGGGGGCTGGTGGCTGGAGGATGATTGTAATGGTAATAACGCACAGCCAGTTCCAACTGGTCCTCCTTGTGGGTAATCTGCTGCCTTCTAGCGCTTGGCTGGTGTTTCTGCACTTGGGGGGCTTTTGATGGGGTGGGGCTTTGCCGTAATGCTGTTTTGTTTTTCTGTTTTTCCCAAGGTTACCCAAACATTGTCGCCACTTATGGACGTGGATACACTGGATTCGCCCCAAGCTATAGCTATCAATTCCCGGGTAAGTCCAGTGCTGTTGGAGTACAGCCTCCTGATCCCGCCTCCCGGTCTGGACCTGAACCTCGGGCCTCCTTAACGGATGCCCCCCCGCTTTGAAAGTGAGCCCCCTGCCCCAAAGGGGAAAAAAAAAACACCCCAAGTCCTGCGCTTAGCCCTTCCAATTCTTACTGAAGGAAAATCAATAGCATTTAGAAGGGAAAGCCCTGGTCGGCGCAATTTCGTGTTCGAGAGAGCGGCGGGCCTTTGAACGCGGCCTGGGCGAACCCGTGTTTCCCGGCAGGGCACTCTTTCCCCGCTTCTCTTAAAGGGCCAGTACTTGGTCACATGACTTCAGAAGGCATCGCATTGTGGGGAGATGTTGGATATGGGATGAAACGTCAGCTCTGACACACTCAGCTCCTTCAGAACAGGTTGGGGCGGGGGGGCATTTTGTTTACATCTGCCTGGGTGTATTAATTTATTGTTGGTTTCTTGCCTGATTATTTCAGATTCAGATCCTTTATTGTCATTGTTGTTTCCACAGCAACGAAATTTTAAAGGTGCATCCTCTCCAGTGTCACATCCAAACAGTAGCCACATAGAACATCAAATAAATAAACAGACAATAAAACAGACCAGCACAATAAAGTCGTCATACCCCACGGTTTCAAGATATTGCACTTTTCGCCTATTGCACTTAAAAATAGCAGCATTAAAATTAAGCAATGAGTCCAACTCAGTTGTAACCATGACACTGAATTGTAAACATGAAGGTGCACTACATCACATAGTCAGCTTAGCAGCATTCAATATGGTGATAGCTGAAGGATAAAAACTGTTTTTTAGTCTGTTAGTTTTAGTCTTTATGGATGTTGAAACATCTGCCTGAAGGCAGGTGTTCAAACAGTACATGCCCAGGGTGTGATGGGTCCCGTACAATTTTCTTGATGTTCCTGAGACAACGGGAACTGTGCAATTCTTCAAGTGAGGGGAGAGGGCAGCCAACTATCCGTTGGGTGACCTGAATGACCCTGTGGAGCTTTTTCCTCTGTGCTACTGTGCAGCTGAAGAACCATGCACAGAGACCAGTAGGTCAGGATGCTCTCTACTGTGCAGCTGGAGAACCATGCACAGAGACAGTAGGTCAGGATGATCTCTACTGTGCAGCTGGAGAACCATGCACTGAGACAGTAGGCCAGGATGTTTTCTACTCTGCAGCAGTTGAAGGACATCAGCAGGTTCTCAAGGATGTTGTCTGTCCTGAGAACTCTCTGGAAGGAAAGTCTCTTTTGGGCCACCTTCACCAGTCCAGTGGTGTGTGTTCCCCAGGTCAGGTCTTCCCTGAAGGTGACACCCAAGAAGTGCAAATCTGAGACCTTCACACAGTCCCTGTTGATCACAAGTGGCTGGATGTTGTCTGCTATCTTCCTGAAGTCCACAATGAGGTCCTTGATCTTGGCCGTGTTGAGAAGATAGTTGTTGTTCCTACACCTTTCTGTCTGCCGTGCCACCTCATCCCTGTAGAGGGACTCATCCCCCCCCAGATATGAGCCCTCCTACCGTGGTATCGTCTGCGAACTTAACAATGGTATTACTGTGGTGGGTAGGAATGCAGTCGTGAGTGTATTGGGTGTAGAGCAGGGGGCTCAGCACACAGCCCTGTGAGGAGCCAGTGCTGAGGCCAATGGGTGTGGAGAAATGGAGGCCCACTCTAACGCTCTGTGTCCGGTCACTCAGGAAGTCCTTCATCCAAAGGCAGGTCGAGTGCGGAAGTCCTATGTGTAGCAGTTTGGTCACCAGTCTGTGAGGGAGGATGGTATTAAAAGCAGAGCTGAAGTCTATGAAGAGCAGCCATGCGTCGCTCCCCTGCGGCTCCAGGTGGGACGGACCAGCATGCAGTGGCCAGAGTCTCCTCCGTAGACCTATTTGCTCTGTAGGCAAACTGGTACAGATCAAACGTGGGAGGAATGAAAGATATGATGTGGTTCCTGATGAGCTTCTCGAAGAAGCACAAGAAGCTGTAATTATTGGAGGAGCGATTGGGTTGGGCCACAGACACTGAGATTGATGTCCCCTCTTGCTGCCAAGGTATGGACTCCAGCGCATATTTGAGGCACTTTCAGCTTCTTGCCGCCCTTGGGTTGTGAACACACCGCTGCTGTGAGATTCGTGGAGGTGCGTCTCCACAGCCCTGGGGTATAACACAGCCTCCCAGTGCCCCGTGGCCTCGACTGCTGTATCGCTGTCAGTCACCCTCCGCCTCCGACCTCTGCATTTATCTTATTGAGTTATTGGCTAGTATCACTTGCATGGAGGGAAGACCTTCTGGATTTTCCCTTGGGTAATTCTGGCCAAGCCGGGGCAGGCAGCGCTGCGGGGGATGAGTGTTTTGGGAAGTTGGAAATGAGCGCCAAGTGGCCATTAGAATGAAGGGGCAGTAAGTGGAAACCGTGCGGCGTCACTGTCACCCATCGCCCCGTGACCTCACAACTGGGACGCTGCCTCTGAAATGCACTTTAACTGTCTGCTCCCACAACAAATTATAGCTGGGGTGTTTCTTCTAGGGTTTGAGTGGGGCGTAAATGAACCGGCCAACGGCTGATAAGCGGCCGGCGCCAAAGCGGCTCTCTCACACCTGCTGCCTCACCGCGGCGCCGCTTGTGGGTTTCCGGCGAGCGTTACTGCTGCCGGGCCTGCCCCGCCCGCCGGCTCGGCCGTGAGCTTAAAAAGCGGCCGGCATCTTTCGCTACAGAGTGGTGGATGCGGGGAGCTCTTGACAGATGAATGGCTGGGAGGCAGCTGAGGATTATGGGGCAGCGGGGTAAAATAAGATTGGATGTGTTTTATGGGGTGTTTTTGAAGAGACTGGCATGGAAATATTGCTACCTGACCCCGTTACCTGAGGGCAGAACGCGTTTTCGAAGAATATAATAGTATATATGTAACACTCGAGGCTATCATTCAGCCTGGCTTTTAGTCCACTTACGTCGTCTGTCCTTCACAACACACTAGTGTCTAGGGCAGGAGGAAATGTTAAAATATAGGGCAGTATTAGGTGAGGAGCGCCACAGGAACGTCCGTCGCGGCGACACGGACTCGAAACGCGACTCCTCGCAGTCATAAACAGGTCCCGTGGCCCAGAGCCGCCGCCCAGACGGATAAACGAACATGGGAGGATGTATAATGAAGTGCTGCAAATTGGCAGGCGTCGCCGGCACCCGGCGGTGCGACTAAGCCAGGCGAAGAGGATTAAAGCCTCTCCGCAGGCCCCTTCTCTCCGCGTGCCCGCCGGCTAATGTGGCCCGGCGCCGAGAAAACGCCGACGAGCACCTCATTATGCGGGCAGAGTCACCGTGCCGTCCGGGGTGTCCTCTGGGTGATAACCCCCCCCCGCCACACGTGCCCTCAGATAGCTTTCTGCTGTTTTTAATGACAGTTACGTTTCCGCCGCGTCCCCCTAGAATACGTCGTCTTTTCCGTGGTTTGTTTGTGTACCCGTCCCGGTGTCTTTGGAGACCGGAAAAGGCGCCTCTCCGGCAGCCGGAATTATGGGTGCCGCGGTGGGTGAGCCGCTGAAGGTTTAATGTCATCCGGCAGGATTGCGTCAGCGGGTTTGGAAGAAAACCTTCCTTCCGTTGTTGGAAATGGGGTGGGGGGTCGGCGAGCTCAGACCGCTGCACGTTCGCGGATAGTTAACTTCCCGCTTCCCGCTCAATCCCCTGGATTTCCCGCAAAAAATGATCTGCTCCTCCGTGCCATGCCCCCCCCCCGGCACCTCCGCTCCCGCCCCTCCATTTCAGCCGATGTCACTGACCTTGCTGCAGAGCACGGAAGGTGAGATAGTGTCCTGCTACCTGAAGGATTTGTCCTAAGCCTACCCTTTCGCTCGTGCCGTTATTGACTTTGCGGTAAAGGGTCCAGCTAATTTTTTTTTCTTTTTTGAAGCACTCCGTTATCCACGGAGCGGAGGCCTGCACAGAATCAGGACAAGGGCCCCGTCGATGGCTGTGTCCCTGTTCACCTTTCCATCTCCCTGCCGCTTCACGGGTCGCGCGTGACGTGGCCATTTTGGATCATTGGGAATCCGTCCCTGTGCCTCTGAAGTCACGCTGTTAAATAAATCACGGTAACCATCGGAGGTTTATCTCTGTTTCCGCCAGTCACCCTTCCTCTCACCCCTAATAGGTCTGTCAGCTATCCTCTGGATGACCTAAGCTCTGGATATATATACATATATATTTTTTTTATACTCTACTTTTTTTTTTCTCCCAAGGCTTTGGTCATATTTTGTCAGATCTTAAATTTCACGACTGCTTTCCTGTGCTAATCATTTCTTCCTGCTAACATTTACACGTCCCTGTTCGATTTTAGTCTGGACTGTGTAAAATGACTCAGACAGTGTCCTAACCCTTTAAGAATGTACCTTGCACTGAATTCTTATTGGGAATGTTTGGCGTGCGTAATTAGTCTCCCCGACCCGAGAGTCTGCGCGTGCCCGTGTCCTGTCTGCGCGTGCCCGTGTCCTGTCTGCGCGTGCCGGCCTGCTGTCTGCGCGTGCCGGTGTGCTGTCTGCGCGTGCCGGCCTGCTGTCTGCGCGTGCCGGCGTGCTGTCTGGGCGTGCCGGCGTGCTGTCTGCGCGTGCCGGCGTGCTGTCTGCGCGTGCCGGCCTGCTGTCTGCGCGTGCCGGCCTGCTGTCTGCGCGTGCCCGCATGCCAGGGGTTCCCCGGCTCGGTTCCAGAAGGGGGCCCGACCGCAGTGAACCTCGATAAGGTAAAATAGCCAGCTATGGGAGACAGTTGTATGATGAACTTGTATGATGCTTTGGATTTTAATGCGAGTTTAAGTTATTAAATCTTTTAATAATAAAGTTATTAAAACTCTTTGACATTTAAGTTTGTTAATGTGAGCCTCTGGATGAGGGTTATCCCAAGACAAATGGCTCTCTTGGACCATTTTCCGAGCCCCTGCCAGGGCCAGGTTGTCCATCAATATGTGGACGATCATTGCCCCCCCTTCCCCCGT